TATCTACAGGTAAGTAATGTCATTAATGTACAATCCTCCCCTATCTACAGGTAGGTAATGTCAGTAATGTACAATCCTCCCCTATCTACAGGTAGGTAATGTCAGTAATGTACAATCCTCCCCTATCTACAGGTAAGTAATGTCAGTAATGCATTATCTTCTCTATCTAAATATTTACAAACAAATGAAGAGAACACTTTTTTAAAGTTGTTTTCTTTATACCAGAACAGGATCACCATTTCTTTTTATTCTAATATTACAATCTCAAGATTTTAACTTTAATTTACTCTACCTATTACAAAGTGAATCAACCTTCAAATGTTTAATGAACAACAGAAACACTGATCTAAATACTGGTAATGTCCCAAACAGAATTAGGGTAGGAATAGTTGTGCCCACAAAATGTCGAATCCCAGAGCCACTTTTTCTACTCAAACTTGAAAACCAGACTCTTGAAAACCGGTACTCTTCAAGACAGAAAATGGTAGCCATGGAATCCGATTCTGATAAATGTTGGCTGACAAGTGACTTCCGAACTTTTCTTGGCATCTCATACTTGCAATTACGGGTGAAAATATGTGAACTCAAGAAAGACATTCTTACAAGTTTTCAAATCATAAAAAGTTAAATGCTTTTTATAGCTGTGAGAAATACAATTTCAGTGACACTGACATCAAAGAATGGCTGGTAGGGGTTCAAAAGTTCTTAAATTGTGTGGAAATAAACAAACAAACAAAAAACTATTCCTACCCTGTGTTCAATCATTATTTCTAAGTTTTAATACTCTGACACATATAAAGCAGTATCTATATATGTCTAACAATGGAGTAGGAACTACCACAACCCAGAATACTGGTCATCTCATTACCTGAAGTCTGCCGTGAAATACTGTAGGGGTTCTCCCGATGAGAACCAGGTGACCGGGGCCCTTTACTTGGCACATACAGGTTTTCAACAGCACGTCCAATGCTGGGAGACCGTGCAATTTGGGGCGAGGTTCGGACCTCATCTAAAGTATCCTGTGTGAGAACAGAAGTCTCCCCTTGCTTGGGTATGTCATTTGAGTTAGACATGTGGTTACGATTTGGTACCTGACAAGATCCCTCTTCAGGAGTAGACTCAGCATTATGAGCTTTCCCACTAGGTATATTAGGATCATGCTTATCACTCAGACAAGGAATACAAGGCAGATAGGGGAAACGAGGAGAGGATTCAGGGGATGAGGAGGACACCTGGTGACCCGAAAGTGAGGTTACACCATCGACAGGGTGAGGAGTAGTGGTGGTAGAAGCGGGCACTGTTTGACCAGTACTCGAGATTAGTAGCGACTCACGGTTAGTTGCACCAAGCCCAGAAGTGTTGCTACTCTCCACTCCAGGGTGTTCCTGTAATGTAGGTGGCCTAGAATGTGGAAATACATTATGATCTCTCCTCTCACTGACTTCTAGTCCTGCAATGACAACAGATGTTTATGTACAAAAGTAAACATCGATATTTATGATAAATAACAACAAGTCGTCTAAATAAAACACTATCTTGCTGAATGTTTCAACTCCACTTTCTACTTGATCAAGATTTTAACAAAGTATCCTATCTTTAAAACCAAAAGAGTAGTTAAACGTATTTTATAAAATAGCAGAACTTCTAAATATTAACCTCATGTTGGCAAAAAAACACTGTTATAGAAAGTTATAATGATTACCTTATTAATACTTCAATGGTAGATGAAGATACATTAAATAATACAAACCTTCAGGTTTATCCTGTGAAAGCGGATTTTCATATTGTGTTCTTCTATTTACATGACTGGGAAAAAAAATCATTTATCATTCATTAAAATTAACAAAAAAAACATTAATGATGAATATAAAAAGTTCTTTAAATATATGAGATTTCTTTTTTACTTTCAGAGACCGAAAACATCCAATAAACTACTCATCAGCACGCCACAGCTCACACCGCAGCCTGGCACGCTAACAACCAGGCCACATCTGGCTCAGTTATAAAAAAAAAATGTTAACTTTAGTTTTGGTTCAAACAAAAACTGATTGCATGAGCGTGTTTTAAAAAAAAACTGTTGATCTAAACAGATTCAGGTTATACGTGTAAACCTTATTAGCTTTTCACAAGTCTACTCATCTTTATTTACGACATTACTTTCCTCCTCTCAAGATCATGGAGACAAGGACTTCACTTACTCAATATAATATGTACCATAGTGAGGATCATCTATCTTTTCCCACCCATAAGGAAGTTCTACAGAAGAAAAAAAATATCATCAGTTAAAACCCACCATCCACATTACTTTCATTATGTCTTTATCTTTTACAATCATAAAGTTCCAAGGTTAAAACCCACCATCCACATTACCTTCATTATGTCTTTATCTTTTACAATCATAAAGTTCCAAGGTTAAAACCCACCATCTACATTACCTTCATTGGTTTTAACCTTGGAACTTTAAGAGTGTAAAAGATAAAGACATTCCCATCCACATTACCTTCATCATTTGTCTTTTTCTGTATTCTCTGTAACCGAGGGTCAAGCCACTGAGATGTCCGACGATTGTAACTGAAAAATAAGTACTACCACAATAACACACAAGAAATAAAAGAACAAAGACATATCTCAAACAACAAAAGATTACTCTTCATGTTTCTGTTATCTGATTTTTCAATACATTAAACAATATGTTCTTCAATGGCTCATATATCAGAAGAAAATCATTAAACACTTTTTTCAAGTGAAGAAACCAAATATATATATACTCAATAAAATAGGTCTCCCCAGTTTCTGTGTATGCTTTTTCCCAGTTCACTGGTAAAGGGCCAAGGTCAGAGAAAGAATCACTTTGTCCCACGTCACCCAAATTTCCAAGAGACTGAGGTGTGGAAGACCTAACCCAAAAAAACAAAACACTGCATGAAATAAAAGTGGTGAAGAAAAAACATTAAAATTACCACCTGCTAAAAATCAGGTAGAAGCCCACAGGAGGCATAAGCAGCAACAAGTGTATTTATAATTCTACTTTATACAAAAAATTCACAAATCATGATTGGATTTGATATTTATTTTTGTGCAAGTTCTGTTTACAAACTTTAAAATAAAGCAAAATAACATCTTCTGAGTCACGTCTATAGGAGTTAGGTTAGACAAAACAGTAGGTATTCTAAAATAACATCTTCTGAGTCATGTCTATAGGAGTTAGGTTAGACAAAACAGTAGGTATTCTAAAATAACATCTTCTGAGCCTAACTCCTATAGATGTGAATAGGCAAAACAGTAGATATTCTAAAATCAAGCAAATACATGACATAATACTGAAAAAAATATCCAACTCCCAATGGCTCAGTTTGGTAAACAACATTAAACATTATATGTCCCAATTTATACTGTTGGTCTCCTGATATAAATACCATGTCCCAACAAATGCTGACTTATACTGTTGGTCTCTTCTTCATTTAAATAATATGTCCCAACAAATACTAACTCATACTGTTGGTCTCTTCTTGATTTAAATAATATATCATAACCATTTCAGGAATAAACTTCAACATATTAAATCATTCTTGTTTTTATACTTTAGCTACATAAAAAACTGTCATAAAATATTAGTGAAATAAACTTAACTTTACATAATAAGCTTAATGTGAAATAATTACTTTATAAAAAGTGAGGTAAAAATAAAAACAACCAAACCTGGCACTATGCTGGCTAGACAAGAGAGGGTAATCCGCCGATTCTGTCGGGTCCATATTCTTAGATGCCATTGCTTCTACGTTGGAACGATTGCGTCGTCTCTTGCCTTCACAAGATGGATGAGCTCCAGGAAGAACGCTTCCAACGTTCCCAATGGAATTGGTTCGGCGTGGTATAGACATGGGGCTCTCTCGAGGGGGCTTGGGGGTACCATAATGATTGCCTGATAAAGGATAAGCAACATATACGTCCTAAGTATTGAAAATCAAAGAGATACAGAAAATTTGTACAAGACTAAACCAAGACCTAAACTATCGTGATAACCAAAGTCTAATACCAAAATGCTAAATGAATACAATACTTGTCAAACTCTGTATAGTGACCATAATATTAAACAAATACAATGCTGCTTGAGACCAAAAAGCTAAACAAATACAACGCTTGTTGAGACCAAAAAGCTAAACAAATACGATGCTTGTTGAGACCAAAAAGCTAAACAAATACGACGCTTGTAGAGACCAAAAAGCTAAACGAATACAACGCTTGTTGAGACCAAAAAGCTAAACAAATACGATGCTTGTTGAGACCAAAAAGCTAAACAAATACGATGCTTGTTGAGACCAAAAAGCTAAACGAATACAACGCTTGTAGAGACCAAGAAGCTAAATGAATACAACGGTTGTAGAGACCAAAAAGCTAAACAAATACGAC